TTTTATTTTATTTCCTGAAACCCCCATTTATCACATATTACTCTTCTCTTGTATTATGCCAGATTCTCCCACCTGTCACGGTTCCCAATCTGATAATTTATCTTCTTTTTTTTTTTTTTTTCTCATGGGGCTATACAATCAATTCAGATCATCTACTCACATAGGAGATATTTCCAATGTATAGCTATAATGTCATATGGGTAAGTGTGGATAAGAGATCCGAAGTCCTATACAGCGGCAGTTGTCCATCCCCCAACCCTGATACAGGTGGGATTCGATCTCAAATATCTTTTACAAACAATCTGAAAACCATACCAACTAGCCTGTTGGAACCTTGCGGCCATGGACTTAAGAAGTGAAAATGTGGCCAAGCCATAGAGTGCTCTCTCTGGTATAATGACATTGGATTGGCAGTAAATAAATTAGAAGTTATTAGTTTTTCACTATGACTACGTTGGATTTTTTAGAGATTATCCGGGCAGTGGCAAATTTAATTCATATTTTATCAAAAAAAGAAAGCATGATTTGGTATTCAATTTTTCAAAATTTAATTCATATTCAACCCATTGTATGTTGAATCTCAAGCCTAGCCCATGCCCAATTTGTTGTAGGAGGAATAACTAACACAGGTTTATAACAAAAAATCCAATGTGCATTCATTAATACTTCATTTCAAGCTATTGGAGTTTCCCAATCATTGGTATAATCTCACCATGTCTTGTGTGCATACCACCTCTTAAGGGTATTGAAAGAGGCTGTTTTACTGGCTATTAAAATATCTCGAGGCAGTATTGAAAGAGGCTGAACTAACTTAGCTGGTTCAACTACTTTGATGTGCTTTGGATAAGCTATTGAAAGATGCTGAAGTGGGCAGCCCTTCAAACGAGTGACTACCATTGGATATGGGCTCTCCAAACTTCTCACCAAACATGGTTTATATTTGAAGGTGGAGAGAGATAGACATATAAATAGATATAGAGATATAGTGGGAGGAAAAGAGACATGGTTTATTGAGCATGTTTGATTGGGAGATATTTTAGGAGGAAGTTTTAAAAGGGGAGATAATTTAGGAGAAATTTTAGGCGATTCTTGAGAATATGAGAGAGAGTGCTGAGGTGGCAAGTTAAGAGTATTAGGAATGGTATTTTGAGGAGAGAGAGAGAGGCAATGGTTGAAGAAAGGGAAAAAGGAGAGAGAGGGCCATTTTTGTTTTAATATGTATTAATAATAGATTGGGACAAGAGTAGACTATAGAGGAACATTTTGCCCTTGAACCTTTAAATCCCTAAACTACCATCTAGACAATTTTGCCCTTTCTCTTACATATTTGTCTAAACCCTTTACTTGTTTTTCTTTCTTCTTTCTCACCCAATGTGGCAAGTAGGCGAGAAAGAGATAATTTGCTTTTCCCTACCCATTTTCATCATTTAGAAATGTTGTCCTCTCACGGTCTCACCCACACAAATCTCAAAAGTATTTTAGTAAATTACATTTTCCCATCGACAGGGAGGGGGGCAAAGTATTGGAATTTGAAAGGTCAGGGCCCTATAATAAAGGTGGTGAGTAGTGAACTAGGAAGATATTTCAGAACTTCAAATATGAATCACTTGGGTAGAGGAATCAAAAGATTCATGGTATGAATTGGCTAAGGAGTAAACGTAGAAACTAAAAACAAGCGTAATGGCCTATTAGCTCAGTTGGTTAGAGTGTTGTGCTAATAACGCGAAGGTCACAGGTTCGACACCTACATGGGCCAAAATGTGGGGATTAGTATTTTTACTATGACACACCACCTCTGGTTTCACATGTAAACATGGTTTTTAAAATCAGGCCAGAATCCACTTCATCTCAAAACCATTTTTTGGCCAAAAACCATTGATTTGATCAACTGCTGACCCAAATGGTTGGATCATTCGACCCGGGAATCAGTCCCTAGAATGGTTCCTTATTAGACCCGGTTTTAAAAACCTTGCATGTAAATACTAAGACCTACCCTATAATCTGTAAATTACTAAGGCCATGTTTGGTTTGCGGGAATAGGGTCTATAATCGGAATCAGAATAGGCTATTCCAATTCCAAGTTTCCAACTGTTTAGTTGGGTGGAATCGGAACCCCATTCCCATTTCTGCTGGAATGGCATTCCCCCATTTCATTCCTGCTGATTTCAATTCTCATTCCCATTCCTATCTGAACCAAACGGACTATGGGAATAAATCACTTTGATTCCAATTCCGACTCCAACCGCGAACCAAACGGACCTTAAGAAACTGTCAAATTTTGGAACAGCTTTACTCAATGAAATTTATATATATATATATTTCACAATGGTTTTTTATTTAAAAAAAAGAGCCTTGCATGCATTCGGGAATGGCATTTATTTCAAAAATATCTATTAAAAACTCTCATGTCACCCTTTTAGAAATTAAGGCTCAGTTTGGAAAGAGTACAAATACAAATGTTTATAGTGCAAATACATACAAAATACAAGGTTTTGCACTCTACATATTTACATTGTACTCCTTCCAAACTGAGCCTAAAGGTGTAAAATGAGCCTTGCATACAGTTGGGAATGGCTTTTTATTTCAAAAATTATCTATTAAAAAACTCTCATGTCACCCTTTTAGAAACTAGAGATGTAAAATGGGCCATGCAACCTGTGGGTTGGCACAGCCCACAAGGTACAACCCCAGGGCCGAGCTATATATAAACAATTGTTTACATCAAAATTCATGTTGGCCCACGGCCCAACTAGTCTTGCAACAAATTCGGCCTGAACCTCGGGTCGTGTTGGGCTTCCCTCACAGGGAAATAGAATTGTGGTGCAAAACAAAGTACTATGATAGTTTGGAACAAGTTATTTTGCACTTGGATTGTGTAGTACAAAACAGAGAGTAATGCCCAAAATTGGTTTTAGATTGCTTTAAGTGTTTTGTTGACCATTTCATTGTGTTTTGATTGTTGACCATTTCATTGCTTTAAGTGTTTTGTTGACCATTTCAAAGTCATTGTTGGTTGTGTTGTGATTTTCTTTTGTCCCAATTGAAATGGAAGAGAGTTCTTGTGCAATGTTTAAGTTGATAGCTACAAACTATACCGTTTGGACGATAAGAATGGAGGATATCTTGTATTGCAAAGAGATGTTTATTAAACTAAAAGGTGTTAAACCACCAAAAAAAAAAAAAAAAATCAATGATGATTGGGAATTGTTAAACAAAAAGGCATCAGACAAATTAGGCAATGGGTTTATCAAAGTGTTTGTCATCATAAGAGGTTGATGCTTACAAGCTTTGGCTAGGAGAGTCTATAGGAATGCAAGACCTCACAAAACAAAGCATTCATGATTAGGAAACTTAAAAACATGAAATACAAGGATGGGTGGAGTATTGCAGAGCACTTGAATAGCTTCCAAGAAGTCTTGATTAAGCTGTCCAATAGGAAGATTGTGTTTGATGATGAGATTCAAGCATTACTTCTCTTGATTTCCTTGCATGGCAGTTGGGTTGGTAGTTTCACTTAGAAACTCTGCTTCTAATAGTGTTGACCTTGATCATGGTGAAAGATAGCATGTTTAATGAAAAAGCAAGAAGAAAAATAGCATGGTACATTTTCTCAATCAGAAAAATTTGTTGTAGAAAAGAAGAAGCAAAATGTTATCATTGTGACTAGCTCAATCATATGAAAAAAGAGCATAGAAAGCTTAAAAGAAAGCAATCAAGGGAAAGAGAGGTGAAGATAAAAGAGAAGAGACAACTGCAGTTACAAGTTACAACCGATGGTGATGTTATTATTAATGGTGATGGTAGATAGTGGATTCGGGTGCCTCATTCCACGTTACTTCACGGCACGATTTCTTCACATCCTACACTAGCGGTAACTTTAACTATGTTAGATAGGGAAATGGTGGGGTATCCAAGATTATCCTCATAAGTGATGTTTGCCTCTAACTTGATTTTCACTAGTTATCTTGATAATGATAAATGTTTCAACTATTTTGGTGAAATAAAGTGGAAGCTCACCAATTTAGCATTTGAATGAGCACAATAAATAACATAAAAGATAATATTTATAAAATTTAAATTATAATGTTAAGTTTTTAACTATATTATTATTATTATTATTATTATTAGGGGGGTGAGTAAAGAAAGATCAAGTTCCACTACTTTGTTTGGTTCGATTGGGTAAAGGGAGAGAAGTTTTCTTTGATATACTGACCCAAATGGGTACCCATGAAACAACCAACCAAATCCTTTTGATGACACAATGGTGATTTGACCCATATGCAATCCATATTTTTATTTGGTGGGGTTGGGTGGGTTACAGCTTACAAGAGAGTGGAGGTCAGAAATTGCCAACCCCAGATCCTAGAGAGTGGCTTTGGGTCAAGCTCGTCGCTGGCAAAAAAAAAATTCTGCCGAGCTCTCACGGTAATAATCTTGATGATGATTAAATAGTTTTTGTATTACAGCTTTTTTTCTTTTTTGTTTCATCTATTACAAAACGTTTAGCCTATACTTCCACCAGCTCCTTCCATGCCATACTACATAGGGAGGTGCCCAAGACCCATGAACTCTAGCTACCTGGCAATAAATAAACGCATAATGCAGAAGACTTCACTGGCAGTTAATCCATGTAGCTTGTACAACCCTATTTTGGTCAATCCCAGGAATACTAAGGGTCCATGTATTTCACATTATCGTCATCTTAAAATGTCCCAAGATTAGTTCTTTGACACAAGGAGAAAAACGTCATTTCCCTCGCCCTTTGATTTGAATAGAAATGTCATTATTTGTAGGGAAATGGTCCAATGAAAATAAACAAATTTAAGTATCTAGAAATGCTCTTTGTTTTCACTGATTCAAGTTGCAAGGCTCGCATCCATATTGTTGTAAAATGTTTAGCTCTTTTGCACATGGTAAGAAGCCATTTCCCTTTAATTCAGAATTGAAGTTCTATTATTCATTGGGAAGCACTGCAATATATATAATGGAAATGGGGCAGGTACAAAAACAACTAAATTTAGACATACTCTTTGTTTTCACTAATTCTGAATGCAAGAAGACCCAGCATACATGGCATTGGATATTCATTTTCCATTATCATCACTCCTTTCTCCTGTATATTGCTTGTATATTAAGATTTAGAGATGGTTTTCTTAACCTGCATAACAAGACTTTACTTTCCTGTCCTTATTTGTTATTGGATTATCAACACAACAATAATACAATGAAGATACACCAAATCAATCCACAACCAAATAAAAGCGATTCCAATCACTGATGCCAATGGCAAATACCTATCCCAGACCCTCAGCAGCTCTCTGCAGAGCAAGAAACAGGAAAGAAGAATCCATCTACTATTATCCCAAAGGAGAGAAAAGGCCCCTTTGCCAGTCATTCACTCGATATGAGATCATAGCACCCTACTCCATTTTCAAACATGTCAAGATTTTTACTCAAACATTCAATCAACCAGTTTCATGGTGATTCCTCACCTGAATTCCCTTTGCCATTAATGTTGCAGTTTGATTCATTGATTGGATGACATGCAGATCCATCAGATTGTAAACTGTCACGTTCTTTTTCAGAAGATCCTGATATATTGGATGATGGATAATGAATTGACTGCAAGAAGTTGAAGTATGCATACTTAATATCAAACTGCATATCATACCCTGCCACAAAATGTGTTATTAGCAAATTGCCTTTAACAGAACCCTGACTTAAGAAACAGAATATTAGCATAAAGCAGCATTCTTACAATAGTTTATTGCAACAGTGCGCCCTCTACTGTCTGGACTCTGCCTAACATAATGAAACCACATACTTGGCCTGTGTTAACGCAAATAAATCCTTTATCCCATTAATGCAGTGAAGCTGAAAGCAAAAGTGGATAGATATAGATTCACAGAATATAGCACAACAGCAAACTTCTGATTCTAACTTATGGTACCTAGATACCTGTATAACAGTGCCATATTGTTTTAGATACTTCAAGTTTGGTATGAATGTCCAGCCATTATTGTCTTGGATTCTAGTTCTAGTTCTTTTATACTCCATCTTATTTCCAAAACATAAACATAGTTGTCAAACCTTTATTATACATTGCCAATGTTAATTTTGAGGATGACCTAGCTTGTTTTTCTGTGACTAAGCTAAACACTGATACTCCAAGTGAAGGATGTCTCACCATGGCTGAACCCTGAATGGTAGGCTCTTGGGGAAGTGACAACAAACTCCCCCACATTTTGCATCAATCTGATTTATGACAAATGAATTAAGAAAAAACAATGTGTTCATGCCAACACCCAAAATAACAATTTTGATTTGAAAAATTGTAAATGGACAGTGAAAGAGATCTAGGGGCCACCTGCAGCAAGGAATCCCTGTGATGAACATCACTGTGGTCTTCTCACCAAGATGGTGAAGCTCGTAGGTAATTCATTGGTTAAGCTCCTGCTCATTACCCCCTTCTCCTCTGCCTTCCTCACTGCCGGCAGAGGGGAGGTACCCTCTTCCAGATTCCAGTCCCTATCAGGACTTTTTCAATCAAAGCTAAATCCTTCGACCTTGGGTTTAACCCTAGCGTGGAGAAATGTTTCTGCCAAATAACTGAAGGGAGAAAAGGCTTTTGGGCTAGGGTTTCCTTAAGACAATAAGTGTTGTCTGATCTTTTTCTTTTCTTGCCAAAATCTCTTACAGGCGCTCGGTCTCTACAAGACAAAAAAAATCTTCAATGGTCATTGCACAGTGGTACAGTTGAGATCAAATGCTCAAAGGCATTACATCAGGTTAGCCTCATGGAGATGCAAAGAAAAATCCAGAGGTAGTTCTATCCCAAAAGGTTCAAAAGGTTGTGAATGGAAATGCTTTGTTGATGCCTTGTCCCCAGTTTGTCAAAAGAAGCAAGAGAAACCCCCTCCACAGCTTGGTGTGGAGTCTTTTCCCCCGCCTACCAAGACAGAAAGTCATATTATTAGATCCAGTGGACGAAGTTTCATCAATATCGTGCACCCTTCCAACCCTTTTGGTATTTGGAAGTTGGCATTTGTTTGTGAGAAGAAAACTGATTTGAAGTAGTCTGAAGTTGAACAGGGGCTTACTGCCAACCTCCACTCCCAACTTGGATTTTCCCTGAGAGGCTGAGACCTGTAAACGAGTATCAAGCTATAGGTTTTGCAGAGTTTGAAGAACAACTTCGGCATTGGCTTCAGCTGGATGGCCACGAGGTTAAATTAAGTAGATGGTGGCCTTTTGTTAATTCAGCAGATGAGTCCCTAAGTTTTGATGGTTGGATAGCCATTAGAGGCCTGCCTTTCCACCTTTGGTCTCAGTCGGTCTTTGAGTTGAAAGAAAATCTGTGGGGTTTGTAATCCATTCACCCAGACACCAAACAGCTAAAAGACCTAATATGTAAAGGGTAAAGGTTAGAAGCAGAAGTCTGTTTGCCATTCCCAGATCTGATCTTGTCCATGAGTGCAACATTGGCATCTCGCTGGGAAGGGAAGAGTGTGTCCAACTCAATGTTCACTCAGACGAGTCAAAACTCAGCTAGGATTTTGCCTTTTGGCACCAAAGTACAACATGTTGATTGGTCAGAGTTGTCAGGACTCAGGAGGTGATCATTTGAATTCAAATTCCTGTTTCAAGTTGAACCGGTTTAGTTCTGAAGAGCCTAGTAAGGGGGTGGGCCCTCTATCTCCTAAGGTGGGCTAGCAGGCTAGCTTAAGTAAAGAGTTTGACCCAGCTGTAGGGCCAAAGTCCAAGATTTCCCTTTCATCCTATGCTCAGGACAAAGCTAAAATAAAGCAGGGTTCTTCTCTTTCAAACAGATTTGTCAGGCTAGATCTCATCGAAGAAGAGTAGTGAAGCAGCTTAGATACTTTGAAGCCTGTCCACTGTACCCATTAGGGGTCTCTATCTCTACCCCTCTGGTAGCAAGTCAAGAGGTCCCTAAAGTCTACTATCTGCATACCACTTCCTCCTCTTCGGCTTTGGATTCAGATGATGAGGTGAATTTGGAACAGAGACTGGTATAAGTCCAACCAGGATCCTATCACAGAAGGCCCCCCACCTCCTAGATGGGTTAAGATATTCTCAAAAGGGTCAGTGAAGGAGCTACAACTACAAAAAGAAGGTACTGCAGCTTCCAATAACCTACTTCCCAGGATTAGGGATCTGAGCGCAACTCAACAAGTTTAAGTCCTTCCATGCTCCTACAATCCCAGAATCCAAGTAATCTTTTCTTCATCCTTCCCTCAACCTTCTGTTCTCCTACAATGGAACAAGTTGCATTTTTGCCTTGTCCTCTTTCTTTGGTAGGTCCATTTGTTGGAACTGCCCCTCCAAGTGTTGCTCCTCTCATGTCTCCTCCAGGCAATCATTTAAGGCCATCTTGCAGGGATTGCTTCTACGAGGGAAAGAACAGGGAAGACAATGGAACAAATGGTCTGGCTGAAAAGTTGGGTATTTCTACAGTTGGCAAGAAAGGTAATAAGTGGAATAGGTAACTTTCTTTCTAACGAAGGGAATACATTGCATCCCGAATCTGCAAGAGACCAATGAAGTGGAAGGAAGATTCTGAGTTAACAGTTAGAAGGAAAAGGCTTGGGGAAAAAAACTGTAGTAGTGACCAATGAAGATCCTATCCTAGAGGGTGGGGTGGTGACCAGAAGAGAAGTTTAGTGAAAGAAACCCTTTTAAGAGAGAACCAAGATATAGTTGTGTTTCAGGAAACTAAGAGTGTTTGGATCGTAGGCTGATTAGAGCCATCTAGGAGGTCAAAAGCAAAAAATGGGTTTAGTTTCCATCTTCAAGTGCTTCAGGAGGTCTGTTGATAGTTTGGGATGAAAATCACCTCACGAATGCTGAAGTTGATAGGGGGAGTTTCCCATTTCAGTTCTCTTTACTAATGTAGAGGATGGTTTTACATGGACTTTGACTGGGGTTTATGGTCCGAATAGACTGAATCATAGAGGTTTGTCTTGGGAGGAGCTTCAAGCAGTCAGTTATCACAGCTATTTATCTTGGTGTGTCTGGTTGGAGATTTTAATGCTACTAGATTTGTAAGTGAGAAATTTTATGGTGGTAACTTCACTAAGTATGAGAGACTTTTCCTCCTTCATAAGCCTTAATCTAATTGATCTGCCTCTGCCTTATGCTAGTTTTACTTGGCCCAATCTGCAAGTTGTTCCCATTTTTTGTCAATTGGACAGATTTCTTATTTCATTTGAATGGGAAGATCATTTTCCAAAGGTGTCCCAAGAGATAGGCACACAAAGCACTTTAGATCATTGGTCGATTATCCTAGATACAGATAAAACTTTGAGATATAAGATCCCTTTCAAGTTTGAAAACTTTTGGATTTTTCATCATGATTTCAAAAGGCTGATGGCTGGGTGATGGATTTGTCAAGTTGATAGTTGGGCTGGTTTCATACTTGTGAAGAAACTTCAGCTTTTCAAACATAAGCTGAAGGATTGGAGCAAAGTTAGCTTTCTCCCTTTCGCAGTTGGAAAGGATAAGATTTGGGCAGAATTAAGGGAGCTTGGTAAAAAAGAAGCAAAAGGGCTCTTAGAGAGCAGTAAAAGCCAAGTGAGATCTAATTTGCAAGCTAAGTGGGAGTAGGTGGTTTTCGATAAGGAGATTCATTGGATGCAAAGATCAAAATTTCAGTGGATCAAGGAGGGGGGATGGCAATACTAGTTTTTTTTTTCCACAAGTATGCTAATGGGAGAAGGAAAAACTTAATTTCAAATTGTAGATTAATGGTCAGATGGTGGATGCTCTTGATGAGTGTGGATGGTCCCTCCTTTGTAAAGGAAAGAGATTGTTAGCTACTTTACCATAGTTGTCAAGGCAACGCCTAGGCGCCCTTGGAGGCTCACCTCACCCAGTTGCCAAACAGTTTTTCGTACTGTGTAATAAAATACTTTTATATTGTCATTTTTTTGAGAACATGATTATAAAATAGACATTATTAAAGAAAAGTATTCATTTTTTGTGTTTATAAAATAATATTCTTTTATTACTTTCTTATTTGTTAGGATTTAATCAACGCAAACATTGCTAACTGCTGTTTTGAACCCTCAATGACTTCAAAACCTGAACCAACAAGTAAGGCAAGAACTTAAAAATTCTTCTTCTTTTCTTTTCTTCTTTTCTTTTCTTCTTTTCTTTTCTTTTCTTCTTTTCCTATAACAAAAATAGGGGTTCAGCCCCTATATTTTTTGAATTTTCTWTCCTTTCTTCTTTTTCTTCTCATAAATATGTTGATTTTCTAGACTTAAACATGAAGTTTATAATTTTCTTATGAAAATTATGGATATTTATTAAAGAAAGGTGGTTATGGAACCTAGGGAACTACCCTAGGATAAGTGATTTTTACTTAAAAAAATTCCATCGCCTAGCAACACCTAGAAAACTAGGTGACAAGGCGCCCTCCTGTCGCCTAGCCTCACCTTGGTGCCTTGAAGACTATGTACTTTACAGAGTTGTTTTCTTCAGATAGATGTTGGAGACCTTTTCTTGGCTCTTGGGAGGGACTAACTCTTTCGCCTGAAGCTAAGAGTTGGTTTGGAGAGAGCAGTGTTTTAAAAGCGCAAGGTGCAAAAAGGCACAGGGGTCAATTTGCACCTAAGGCGCAAGGCGAGGTGCGCGCCTTTTTGAAGCAAGGCGCAAAAATACAAAAAAAGAAAAGCTAAAAAATCCAAAAAATGTCAGAAAATTCAAAAAATTCAAAAAATGCCAAAAAAATAAAAATATTAAACATATTATTAATAAAAAATATAAACTTAAATTTTAAAATAATGTTTTAAAAAACCTATTATCTAAAATTAAAATACATAAATATAAGATGTAAAGCATATTCAAATGAGAATTTAAAAATAAAATCAAAGATATAAAACATTTTCAAGCATGTAAAACCTCTAATCGCTTTTTCACTCAATTGCTTTACTTCACATAGCTAATGTAATGTAAAACATATTACATTCCTGATTCTATTGATCCTACGAGCCGCCTTTGTGCCACACCCCTTGAGGCAAGCCCAAACAAGTCCATGTTAGGTCTTAAATTCTTAGTTTTCACACAAAAAAAAATAATGATTTTATAGTTTTAATTGCTTTTTAAGAAGACATTTTATTAGGATGAATGAATGAACAACAGTACGCAGATGACATCATCTTCTTTCCTAAGGATAAGTTGGATTTTCTCCTCAATTTGAAGGTGTTGACTTGCTACAAAGCAGTGACAGGGCTAAAAACCAACTTACAGAAGAGCAATATTATTGGTGTTAATGTGCCTCATCAAAGGTAAGCTGAGTACAGTAATACAATGGGTTGTAAAGTGGAAAACTAGCCAATAAAAGATCTTGACTTACCTCTAGGAGGAAATCCAGAAAAGGTTGACTTTTAGGCTCCAGCCATTGAAAAGTGTAAGAAGAGACTTGAAACTTGGAGGAAAAATTATATCTCCAAAGGTGGTAGACTTACTCAAGGCCTCATTGTCTAATCTTCCTACCTTTTTCTTGTCAGTGATTAAGAGTACCAGCAAACGTTAGAAGTCAGCTAGAGAAGCTCCAAGGAGACTTCTTATGGGAAGATGGAGGTAAGAAGGATCACTTGGTTAGGTGGGAAGTAGTCTACAAGCCCAAGAAAGAAGGTGGGTTGGGTATCGGTTGCATTTCAGAGAGGAATACAGCTCTCCTAGGCAAGTGGCTTTGGAGTAGGGGTGCAAATGGATCGGATCATGATCCAATCCGATCCGAAGTCCAATCCTATATTCTCATATTCGGATCAAATAATATGATCCGATCATAAATCGGATCGAATCTGGATCACCCCTATCCAATCCGATAGGGGTGATTATTTATTTATTTATATAAATATAACACACACACACACACACATATATATATATGTTATTTATTTATAAATACATTATTTATATTGCATTTTTGCAGATTTGTTATTACTTAGCTTTTTTATAAAATCATGTATATATGATCAAAATAGTTGAAAAGATAGCTGTATTTTTTGTTTTTATTTATTTAAATTGTTATATTTTATTTTTATTTTAATAATTTATTTATTGTTTTAAAAAATCAAATCAGATCGGATCAGATCCGACTGCCTCATCGGATCTGCAATTAATAGTGTCTGATCGGATTTGGATCCAATCCAGTCCGATCCGTTTGCATCCCTACTTTGGAGATATAAGAAGGAACCACAACCCCAGTGGACATCTGTAATCCGCAGCAAGCACGAGAAGAGCAAAACCGAAAGGGGTAGTTTCTCTTTGGCCAGTAGAACTTCCTCAGCCAGCCCGTGGAAAGTTATCTCCCAAATTCTTCCCATTTTCCAGTCTAACCTTAGATTCTGTCTAGGAGATGGGAACCAAATAAAATTCTAGACAGATCTCTGATGGGATCCTTCCCCCTTGTCTGATTCCTTCCATAATCTTTTCAACCTAGTGCATGATAAACAAGTCCTAGCCTCTTCTACTTTAATCACAGACAAGCATGGTGTTTCCTTCAACTTTAATTTCAGAAGAGGCCTAAGCAACTTTGAGTCATATGAGTTGTCCTCCCTACTTTTGTTGTTGTCTAATATGTATCTAATCTCCTCCCATGATAAGTTAATTTGGTCTAGCACCCCTAATGGTGCCTTCTCCACCAAATCTTTCTTCTTTAGCTTAGTCTCTAGCTCCCCTCCTCCCTCTTTCCCATCTAGTAGGATCTGGCCTCTTCGGTCCCTCTGAGAGTATCATTTTTCATGTGGGAGGCAGCTTGTGGCAGGATTAATACTTGTGATATCTTGCAGAAGAAATGGTTGGGACAGTGGTGCCTCTCTCCTCATGTATATAGTACGTGCTTTGAAAGTGGAGAATCTATTGGACACCTGTTGACTGATTGCAGGGTGGCCCGTAGTGTATCACAGTTTCTCCTAGATTTTATTGTCCTCCTAACATAGTTGGTGAGTTCTTATTGTAGTGGAAAGGTAAGGAGAGGAATAAAAGGATAATGACTCAGCTGATTTCTTGAATGGAGACAAAGAAAGCTTTCATTGGTTATAGCCATGGAGATTTAAACAGGAATCTGTTAGAGATCCTTCAATCTACTACGATTGGCCCTCAGCCCCCCATTTCCCCAAGGCCTGATTGTGCTTACATGCTGAGATTTGACAACAGTTTAAGAAGAGCATTTGACTCTCCTCTGATGGCAGGAATAGGAGGGGTTATTTACAACTCAAAGGGGGTAATTTCTTGGGTTTTCAGCGGCCCTGTTGTAGCCCAGGATGCTTCTGAGGCTGAGGTTCAACCTCTTTTGGTGGGACTTCGGGCTGCTAGAGCTCTTCAAGTGGAGCCATTACTGGTGGAAGGAGAATCTAGAATCACCATTGAGTGAGCAAGTGAAGGCCCCCGGAGGCTTGTCCATTTCTTGCAAGAAATTTTTTATCTCTCTTGTGTACTTCCATTGCTGTTTCAGATGGATTCCTAAGAACTTCAATGTTGTGGCAGATGCTTTAGCTAAAAGTGGGCTGAGAAGGAATTTGATGTATAGTGCAAATACGTTTGCTATTTCTTGAGTGGGCTTTAGTTGTTTTTTTTTTTTTTTTGAAGCCCTGTTCTTTCAAATAAAAAACAAAAAAAGTGGTCAAGGCAACACCTAGGTGGGTGTCTAGGTGAGAAGTTATCCATGGAGGGTCGCTTTGCTTAAGCCCCTAACTATTACATGGCACTATTATATATTTTTCTATCATTAATTTTTTTGAGATTATAATAATAAGATAGCTATTATTATTACACTAAATTATTCATTTTGTGGGTTAAAATACTAGTTTCTTTTTTATTTTCTCATTTGTTAAGATTCAATCGACACACATGTGGTCTATGCTGTCTTTGAACCCTCAAAGGCATCATAACCTGAACTGATAAGCATGCAAGATCTTAAAATTTTGTCCGATCAACATATTATCTGAAATTTTCTTCTTCCTAGGAAAAAACAGGGGCTTAGCCCCCTCTATTATCCAATCCACTAGTGTAGCTCATCCATGGTTGTTGGTTTGGCCTGTGCAAAAATGGTTCACCAACCACTGTCTTAACAGCCATTTGATCTACCAAATTTCTCCGTGCCTCAACAATTTCAAACTTTTATGTACTTCATTGAAGACCAGAACATGAATTTCATTTAGCATTTATAGAAGAACCACTTGACATACAAAAGCCATGCCCTCAAAAATCATGTTAAATCTAGGATCTACAATATTCTAACACCATTTTCCTTTATGTCCTTGTTCAAGTTATCAAGTTGATGGTTGTTACAAAGGGATGAAATTAATTTAAGCGACCATAAATAAATCATTAGTTGAATCAGAAAATTACAGACTTACAGTTCAAGAAGTCGGGCTTACAAGTAAAGAATTTCTCCAGCCTTGACAGTGCACTCAAGTGGCTTTGGGCCATTGAAATATAATGGGTACAAGGATATCTCCCTTTCTTCATTGCTAAGTGATGGGTAAGGGTTCACGCTGCACCAAGGCACATTTCTCACCGGTTTCTCAAGTTCCAATGTGAATTCACCAGTATCCTACAATAAAGAATCCTAGAGATTTAAGTAGATAACAGAAACAAAGAGAGAAAGAAGAAGCAGTAGAACATAAGCATACAGATAGAGACAACCATTGGCAAAGGTAGTTTCTGACCTGGGAATAGATGTACTGGGCAGCAGGATATTCGCGAACATACATCCTGTGAAGGTCGGTCGGGGGGAGAAGGAGGAAATGCTTCTCGCCGGAGATGACGGCATATAAGTTCTCATAATGGTCCTTGTGGAAGGAGGTCTCAGAGAGATGGTTGCCAATCCAGAGGTTGACTGCTTCAGGGAAGCAACCCAGTGCTTCTGTTGCCCAGGGAATGTGGGATTCAACGTCGGGAGAAAGAGCAGAGTACTCGGAGCGAAAGCAATCATTCTGCTGCTGGGCATATGCGACGAATGGCTTTGAAATTGAACCAGAAGAAGAATTGGAAATGTGTTTGAGAGCAAGATCAAAGGGCATCCGTTCTACATGAGCAGAAGCAAAGCAGAGGGAAGAAGGGTCATCGGGTCGGGGGACGAGGGCGTCGGCTCGGCCGTCTGGAGTGAGGTGGACGGAGACAAGAGCACTGGCGGTGGTGGAGGCGTCAGTGGAGTCGGAGGCGGAGAGAGCTCGAGTGAGGTAGGCGTCGTCAGTCCAGGAAGTAATGGCGGGCCAGTGGAGGGTGGCGTTGGAGATGATGCAGGGTCTGTTGGCGGAGACGAAATCTCTCAGGAACCGAAGTGGGGATGGGGGTCCTTCGAGACGTTCAACCCGGGAGGAGGTGCCCAAGCTGAGTTCCCTCACCTCCTCCCACAGCTTCTCTATTGCCGCCATTAATACTACAGCTATACCTTATAGGGAAGACATTAACAAAGAAAAACAAGCCAAGATCAAGGAGCACTTGCACACTTCTCAGTTCTGAGTTCTAAGCTCTGAACTAGAAGCCTATTCACTATTGAGAGAAGACAAGTAGGTGTTGGAGACAACAGGGATTTGGGTAGGAGGAATGGAGGATTTAGGCAAAACGGATCGGATCAAATCGGATATGCAAAACCCAAATGTGATACGTTAAGGATTCGAATAGAATCCGAATCTAATAACCAGGGCCAGGGGAACTTAACAAATGATACTCTAAGACCAGTAGACCCAAATCGAATAGCATTAATTAAATTAAAAATAATCAAAATACTTTTTAGGCATTGTTTGCTTAGGCTAGATTTGGAAGGAGTACAATGTACATTGCAAATACATACAAAATAATACAAAATGCAAGGTTTTATAATTTATAAAATGCAAAGTTATTTATCTATTTTCTCTAAATTTTGCATTTTTTCTTATTTTTTTGTTTTAAAAATATAAAACAGTAATCATTGTTCATCTTGATTAGATTAATAAAACTGCACGCAGTTACAAAGAGGTCTTTGGATTTTTCAAATGCCTCTTATTTTAATGTATGTTATTATTATATTTAAAAAAGGCATTTAAGAGATAGAACTTTGGATTTTCAAATGCATGTTATTATTATATTTAAAAAAGACATTTAAGAGAGAGACCTTTGGATTTTCTAAAGCCTCTTATTTTAATGCATGTTATTATTACATTTAAAAGAGAGAGAGAGAGAGGGAGTATAGTAATAATATAAATCAAGTTTTTTAAAACCAAATCGGACAACGAATCAATTAGAAGTCCAATTCCTAGGTCGAATGGTCCGACCGTTCAAATAGAACGAATGACCCGTTCTGACAAAAGAAATAAAAAATGGCCAAAACCATTGGACAATTCAAACGGTTTGACCACCCAGGTCAGCGGTTTGTTGACCAAATCAACGATTTTTGGTGAAATAATGATTCTGGGGTAAAACGGAACCGGTCACTTGACTGGTTCCCAGTTTTTCCAGTCCGGTCCAGTTTTGCAAACCATGATATAAATCAAATAATATAAATAGGTTGAGGTTAAACAATCAAAAAATTATTAATTTAAAAATCCACTAAACTTTCCCTAAAAGTAAATATTAACAAAACTTAGTAAATATTAAGAATGTGTTTCAATTCCACTTAAAAATCCAACTTAATATATGCTAATAAAAATAAGAAATTTAAATATAAAAATATTAATTGATAGTTTTAAAATACCAACAATTAATTAAAAATCCAAAAATTCTAAAAAAACTAAAGATAATTAATATATTAAAAATAATTAAAAATATTGAAAACTAACAATCTTTTATGTTAATAAGGGTATTTACTAAAAATAATTAAAATTACAATTAATAATATTTTATTATTAAAAAATACCCAAGCTAGAAATTATTGAAAATTTGCTATATTTTTTATTGACTATGTTATTTATTTAGTTATTTAATTTATTTTTACTAAAAGCAAATGCAAATTAATTTTGTAGTGATTAATATGCAAATATAAATGATGAAAATATTGAAAATTATTGAAAAATACTCATATGCAAAAATTACTAAATAATAATGAAAAAACACAAAAAATTAATTAAAAATCCAAAAATTCTAAAAAACCTAAAGTTTAATTAAAATACTAAAAATAATTAAAAATTAAATTAATTTTATTTTATTGCAAAAAATACTGAATAATAATGAAAAATAATGTATTTTAAGTATTAATAATAATATAATTAACAATAATTATTTTTAACCTGTAATTAACAATAATTATAATTTAAGCTATAAATAGTAAAAAATTACATTGAATTACCAAAATGTTATATTTAATTACCAAAAAAATACATTTAATTAGTTTTAGACAAGAAATTAACAATATTTCTAAAAATATGAATTTCCAAAAATTATTGTATTTTAAATAAATATAGTAATTTAATAATTACAATATTTTAATAGCTAACAATATTTTAATAATTAATAATAAAAAGTAACAAACCGTTTATAACTTAACCTAACCCGATTAGATCTATAAATTTGCAGGCTCAAGCAACAATTTTCTTTTGAATTAGGTCTAAGTGAGATACGCACCATGCCCACACATTATCAGAGATAATCAAATTCGAAGTGTAATTGGAAATCAAACTTTTGGAGTCCAATGATGGCTTTAGCGGATAGGGCCCAAGCTAAACAATCCTTAATAAGTTCAACTTGGAAGTTATATGCATATATGTTAAATATTATTATATAATATTTAAATAACAAAATTTATATTAATATATATAGAAATGTTATATGTTTTATTATACTAGACTAGAATTAAATAAAAAATTAATTTGTAAAAAATCATAGTTTTATAATTAACACAAGCCTCTTTATCAACAAAAAATGTGCAAGCCTGAGTCCAAGCCCAGATCTTATATAAAGCCCAAAGCTTAAGCCCAAGCCCAAAGCCCAATTTGTACACAAAATGTCTATTTTCAGTATATTTTTATAAACTAATATTATATTAATTTAATAAATTAATAAACTAATTTATATTTTTTAATAGTAAATTGATATTTATTAATAATTTAAGAAGCATATATATATATATATGATAAGAGGTTAAAGAGATATGCCAAATAGTAAAATTGAGTTTGTGCTTGGTATGAAGACATGGGTACTACTATTGCCGAGTCAACGGATAAGCTCAACAACATTGGTCAGAGAAAGGTAACACTATTGCATGCTATGCCATCAAAACATCTTTACTGAAAGCATGAAAATACCAGAAAGAGTGGACTAGATAGCGTGAGGAAGATAGTTTGTTGATGAGGTTGCTGTCTTTATGGTTGCAACTTGTTGCTAAGAAAATGTTTATCTTGGAGGATTATTTCATAAGCAAAGGGTATTTTGAGCCAAATAGTGAGAATGAGAGAGGGCATGTGGATCAACTATTTATGCAGTTGTGTGAGCAGATTTCCCAAGAGGCCAAGAGCATCTCAGTTTTCCTCTGCATTAGTCTTTGCCTTTCTTGTTTGGGACCTTCAAACTCTATTTAACATTTCACTTCTATTTTCTTTGTATTTAACATTTCACTTCAATTCGTTGTGTATATTATACAGCAATAGTAGCTTATGTGTGATTAAAGTTCTTGTAGGAAGCAATAGTAGAGAAATACCTTCTAATCAGGTATGCTTGTAGAGCTCGTTATATGAGAAATTTATAGGGTTGGAATCAAGGAAGATGGTGGAAGAGTCTCCTTTGTTGCATATTTTGGAATAGGCATGAAAAAATTTATTCTATTGGGTTGATGAATAGATAACAGATTTAATCATTAAGCTCTGAGATTTTAACCAGTCAACATCTTTTATTTTATGATCAGCTCTGTCAAAATCTTTTATTGAGGACCTACATAAAACAGCTGCTAGGAGGGATAGTAGTTGGATGTCATGTGCATCTTTTATTTGTATCATGATCCAATTCATCATCATCTTCATGCTTCTCATAAACCCAGATAAAAAATAACATAAATGATATTTAAAGCATGAAAATGGTCAATTAACACATTTCAAACATTACACCATCTGGATTTACCAAACAGATGCATTCAGAGGGGCAATTTGAAATTGAATTCAGAGATCATATAATCAAATATCCCAATGACTTCACTGCATTAGAAAAGCAGAAAAGCAGCTTCACCATTTTAGTGAAAAAAAAAACTGTTCTCGGAAGTTTTCTGCTTATGAAGGATCATTCAATGTTGTCAACCACCACCTTAGTATCTCCACTCTTCTCTGATATTGATTATGGCACTAAAATCCTGGAAAACTCTAGAATGGTGACCAATGAATCATCATGTTACAAATTTGGGAAACATACCTCATCATTAAACCATAAATCTTTGTTTTGATTTTTCTTCACCATGAATGGGTAAAATGTTTAAACCTCATAGCCTTCCTTTACCAAGTTTTAAATATACGCAAATGCTTGATTCAAAGGCAAAGTGAACACATCCTGCTTCTGGGAATAATGTAAACTGGAGTATTACAAACAAAACCATTTCATCACGTATGCCTTTGCAATATTTTGTGATCAAACTAACTTGAAGTATTAGCATCTTAGTTGCCAAGAGAACAAGAGGTACGACTGTTAAAGCATTCTTAAACTCAGAGGTACTTAAATGCAAGCCAATGTAAGTAGTTACAAATATAGAATAACTTCTGTCTCCCAATTTATATTAATAGAAAAGAAATTATCTGTGTATATATACAATCTCAGGTATTACTGATTGCAATGATTGTAGGTGCATTTCTTTCAAAATATTATTTTTCTTTCTGACTTTTTCAAGAAATTGAAAGGCCTATACAAGAATGAAGGTGGAATCAGATGCAGAAAAGAGAATATGCATCTACTTACATTTGTCCATAAATCATCAATCGTCAAAAAGTATGACTCTTGTCCTGATATTCTGTTTCAATTTATGGAGGGAAACGTGGGGTTCATGCTAAGTCCAGACCCACCAAAAGTTCCAGGATTCGCATGCTTTACTCTTCCAAAATGTCGGATGTGACGCAAAAGCCTGGCCAGGAAGGTGTTGTGGCATATAGTTGAACTATCGCAAACAACTGCTACATGTTTGCGTGCTCGGGTTATTGCAACATTCATTCGCCTACTATCGCCAAGGAATCCAACAGCACCCAAAGTGTTTGATCGGACCTGACAATACAAGAAATACATGTCATGGACCTTTCATTATCATAATGTTGAACCCAGGAGACTTACTGTACTAAACATTAACATATAAATGGTGTACTTGCTTTCTTCATTTATATGCTTCCAGGGCTGAATGCATTGACACAGAAATAATGCCAAAGGGATTGCTTCCTCACTACCATGTTATCTTTCTGATAAAATATTTTAGTAGCTATCTCAGTATGTGATATGGTCTATGAATGGGTTCCAAAAAGCAGGTTGGCAATCATTTGGACATTGGACAAGAAAATTATCTTTTGGGTTATCTAAATACAAAATTCAAACCATTTGAATGATTCCAACAATCTTAATCTTTGTGATTATGCATATCAGAGACAAAAAAAAATGTCGCACTCTTTTCTAGACTTGGACTTGGAGTAGGTTGCTTGAGGAAGAATAACAGAAATGCATACTGAGTGGAGGTAGAGATTGTCTTGAACTCTAGATGACAATTACATTAGGAGAGATTATACACACTGTCATTTGGGGGAGAGGAGTATGGGGGGAAAGAAGCAACTGTATCTAGGAAACAGAACCATATTTTGAAGCACCAAAATGAACATTCAATTTCCAATTAGCTCATGATTAATAGCCAGAAAAGAATTCAGAGAAGTTTATTTCAATGATTTTAGGGTGAACCTGTTGTAGGTACCCCACACCAATGTGATTACATAGAGCAAAAGGATTTTCGGAGCCTAAGGATATTAGCCCATTATTGAAATGAGATTAAAGAGAACCGGTTTTCTATGTCCATATAAATTATATGGACCCCTAGATAGCCGAATACAGTTGTTGATGCTCTGGCGAGATATGGGTCGATTGGCCTTCTCCCTTTTAGGCCCCATTCGTTTGCAGGTAAATATGCATGGAAAAGTCAATGGGTAACTTTTTTCCATTGACCAACTTTCCCATGTTCTTTTTGCATTAAGCAGTGAGCCCCATGGTAAAGTTACCCTTACTTTCCTGGGTAAAACTTACCCATCTCCCAGGTGAGAAAGTGACCATTTTGCCCATTTTAATACTTACTTTTTGTGGGTAGAAATGCCATTTTATTATTTACCTAGGAATCCTGAAAATCAAAAGAACATGGACATTTACCTGGGTAAGCTGCACTGTTACAAACGAACAAGGCCTCAATATTTGTTAGGCAGGAGGGTATGTCTAAGATATGCATTTATTTTACATTTATGTACATCTTTCACTCTGTTCTTGCACTTAATACAAGTTAGAGTTTTCTTTTCCCCCAAAACAGAAAAAAGTAAACAAGAATAAGAAGAAATCCCATATTAATGTAACGTAAAAACAACTATAAATGAGCATACCATTGATATAATAACTGCATCAGCCTCCCGACCTTGAAAGCTGTCTATAGTTGCCACCTCCACACCAACTGCCTCTGGAAGTTCATCAAGCCTATCCCTCAAAAGTTGTACTTGAGAAACATAAGGAGATTGCACTGTAATAGCAGTTGGGCTGACTCCTACATGCAATTTGAAAAATAATAATTAATTGGAGTTAGAGGAAACCCAGAAGAAAAGACAGAACCACCAAAGGTGCACCTAGTGCATGGCACATGATAGAGAAAACAATTCTGGATTCAGGAAAAGACTTGTTATATCAAAAGAACCTAACAGCTGAATGAAACATGGAACATTTAACACATAGAATGTACACCTTCCAATTATAGGATAACTGCACCCATATAAGACTCCAAGCCATGTGCTATTATAATGGAAAAAAAGAATTATTTTCAGCAAACTAGACACTATTCCACAGTGCAGAAATCAAGGACCAACAATCTCACAAGGAGTAAAATAAAGATGGAGCTAAAAGAAAATGAAACATTTAAGCTCCCATCAGCTGAAACAATTGAAAATAAAAGTTTCGAAATTGGATAAAAACAACCAAAAGGGATTACCACAAGGTAAGAGTAATAAAAGTTTATCTCTTGGAGAATGCCAGTGCTACTCTTGGAAGTGCCTTATATAAATCAATGGAATTCTTGAAAACTATCATGCTTGTACTAAAACTTGGACTAAGTTTTGATATCAGTAAAGTAGAATCAAACAATCAATGCTGTCAGATCAGACTGGATGTAAGATTCTTTTGGTCACTGGATAATGGGTCAAATAATCTGATTGTCCATTTCAACTCATTTAAATAAAAAATTAAAAAAAAAAAGCAAATGGTTCAACATTATCTTTCAAAATCAATTTACATCAAAATAAGCCTAGAACAATATCGACACAGGCTGATACGCCAGTACAGGCATATCATCCTGTATCGAAGCTCGCTCTCCCCTTTTTTTTCTTTAAAACTGGTTCAGAAGGGTCGGTTTAAGGCTGGTCTACCCCTGAACAAGTTTACAAATCCAATTGATGATCATTAGCAGATAATTTCCTATTCTTTTATGCTTCTCACTTTTTTTCTATGAGGACATAACTGGGCAAAGTGTTAGATGTAGAATTTATAGATAATTGAAGTATATAACACAATATGGTACCCTTAACAGGTATCTAGGTATCATGGGTTTGTTTTAGATTAGGAATTAGGCTTTAGGACTTGCATTAGCAACCAATTCATGTTATTAGAAATTGAAAACATATACCCGCATAAATCAGAGAGAAGACATGTTGGACAACAATATCAGCTTCGCCTTCATTATAAAAGGAGCCTGTGCCAGCTGGGTCCATTTGCTCCTCACAGCCAACAGATAAACTACCATATGGCATTCGTGTGTCAAGCAAGAGCAATGGGCATAAGGTTATCCATGTGGCCTACAATTGAATCATAGGCAGTGGTTAGAACAGAGAATAAGTATTTAAAGTAAATTTTTGTAAGAAAATAAAAAAAACCTGAGAAATTAAGCTTTCCAACTCATAGTGCTCTTTGTTAAAGAAAACATATTTTTCTTAATATGAAGCTACTAAGTAGGTCCTAAGCATGTTGATATTGATTAACCAATGCTCTCTCTATGTTTGGAATCACAGAATGAGCTAAAATCTAAATAATGTTACATTCACCTGGTTCAATTACCACCAGAAATAAATTATGTAAACAAAAGAAAATACTAATGAAACAAGGAAAAAAGGAAATGAACAAAGATGAATGAAAAAGCATATAAAGTTCAGATAAAAAATTTAAAACAAATAAGGGAAGGATATCTGAAACAGGAAAAATACAGTAACCATTGTCTTCTGCAACAGAAGACATGAAATTTAAATGTCATTTCATCAAGATTACAAACAAGAATGAATCTTCAACATCAGACAAAGGGAAAGAACGAAACCACAAGTTCAATGGACAACCATGCCCATAAACCAGAATGACAATACAAAGAGCATTGATTCCATCATTCAGAATTTCTCTTTTGCATGTGAACCTTCTTATATGTACTAGATAGTAGAAAAAGAAAAAAACTTAACTAGTCAACAATAACAACCTAGGGCAGCAATACAAACACTTGCTCTTTTTGGCATGCCAATATACATGCACCGAAAGAAATAGAAAAAGGCAGGAATTTTTGTACGGAAATGCAGATTTTTTATAGAAACGAGAAAAAGGACAAATACTATCAAACATTGGAAACAATAGCTTCACATTCCCTAATAATTTGAAGACCCATCGTCATATTTTCCTTGCAAAAGATGTATGCCAATGACTGATCGAGAATAAGATGGTCAGAGTTTCCTACATATATCTCAGATGTTTAGTGCATAAGATTCCATGTACAATAATAGCAAGATTCAAAACAAAATGGATTTATTAATGTAAGTATTGCATAGATAGGATGTCCCCAGTACAGTTGTTACAAGCCTAACATACAAATTGAGATTGAATCAAGAATCATACCATAACAAATGGGGAATCAACAAGAAGGTGTGAGGACACAGTTGGAGAAGACTGTAACAATCCATCATACATCTCCTTTGAGGCCCAGCTGGCTATTGCATCATTCATCCGGTATTGTGTAGTCAACTTGGTTTTAAGAACTCCATCATGCAGAGTTGATGCTCTTTCCAGAAGAGATATGCCAAGCCCACCTTCCAGGGCTTTTCTGGACAAAACCACTGGAGCTAGCTGGCATTGATCACCTGCAAGTATACAGCGCTTTCCTTGCAAGATTGGAATCCAGCAGGATGGCTCAATTGCCTGCCCTGCTTCATCTATAACAACCAGATCAAAGGTATCCAGCCTTCGGATCAAAGGATCTGCTGCCCCAGTATTTGTGGAGAGTACAACCTGAGCACTTGATAGTACTTCCTTTACAGTTTCCTTCTCTTTCTTCTTCAATTCTTTTCCAAGTTGTTTTAGGAGTTGGCGTATGCCTGCAGCTAGAGAATCATCCTTTAAGCAGAGTCGTAGATCTTTTCTTAGGTTCGCCTTCTTTCTTTCAAACTCTTTGCGAAAATTTTCAAGCTTAGCATTGACGATCTCCCCAAGAGACTTTGAAGCTACAGGTGCAGATATTCGTGCTGGATTTCCAACACGTACAATGTTTATCCCAATATCTGAAAGCTTTTCAACCATGTTGTCAACAGCAGCATTTGTTGGTGCAGTGACAAGCACCCTTTCACCTTGTTGAACAGAAAGTGCTATCAGTTCCTTGAGCAAACCTGACTTTCCAGTACCAGGAGGCCCTTGGATTATCAACACAGGACGCTTCTTGTTCAAACCTAAGGCAATTGCTCTTAGTTGGGAATTAGCGTAACTGCCATCTTGTACTAGCCCATCTAGCTTTGCTTCATGCCAATCCACCACATGCTCCTTCTCCATCCATGTAACATCTTCCTTATCTCCAAATAGAGTTGCTACAACAGCAATGGAAGGATTTTTCTTATGCAAACCATTCTTCCGGAGCAGCATAAGGGCTTCGCAGTTGCGCTGTAAAAAGAAGATAAGAACTAAATAAAACAAAAATCAACAGGGACATATGGCTAGAGATTCTACACATGTATGAATTTGCCCAGCAACTAAAAGATCTTCCCAAGACATCCAAAGGGTATATACACAGAAAGATGGCAAAACTGTCACATAGATCAGTACCTCATCTGTCATCCATAACCATAGAATTGAAATTACAGTTAGATAATAATTCTTCAGTCTTGATAGAAAACATAGGTAAAGCACTATATGGTCTCGTTTTTTGTTTTCATTCTCTGGTTTGGATAATAACATTGTTGTAGTACTTTCTATAAAAGTTAATTCATAATTGAAAATGTTAGCATGACTACAGAATTGACAGGAGCAGTGTCAAATTCCACAAAATCAGTAGCATTAGAAGCTACAGAGTGGATAATTCATATTTCAATATATTTCATGCTTAAGAAAAGGTCCTTCCAACATGCACCTAAATCTCTTCAATATACTTAACACAACCCCAATTAATTACATGAAGGGGTAAGTGGAAAAAGTTCATTGTGACAAACCATATCAGCCTTACAACCAAGCATATATTCACCATTATGCCTACAAACAGTTATGTTTCAAGCCTCTAAGAATAAACTATCTAATAAAGAAGAATACCAAATTTGTTTCTTGGTTGTGTGAGAGAGATATCAGGCCATAACTTGCCATATGAAGAGAGGCAGATCTCTGAAAAACCTGAACAGCCACCTAAGATGTACTTGTAAGTTTGTAACTTGTAAGAGTACCATTGGTTCAAATTCATTTACAACCTGGAACTGTATATACCAGTCCCTTTTTTGTAATTTACTTGTGCATTTTCGGAACTTCTCCTGGTTGCAAAATAGGCCCTTCTACATGTAAACAGTGAAAAATCTCATGTCAACACTGAACAAACGTTAAAGCAGCTTATTGTAAATCATCAAACAGAAGTCATCTAAGGAGAGAACTTTTGGTCATGTAGCTGACTCCATATAGTTGAGTAAGGTTATGTTCAGTTGTATAGATGGTCAGGATTTGTCTAAAAATTTAATCAATGCAGTCCAAAACCTGACAATATAAAAATGAGCAAGCATGAAGTATCATAAACTAATAAACAGCAAGAAATGAAGCTGCACTTGTTCCAATAATAAGTAGGAGGCAAAAGTCTGAACTCTGAATATCCAGAAAGATAAGGATAGGCATAACTCCATCTATTGCAGAGCAACATCCTTTGGTATTCAGCATGAACAATTCAATTTAAAGAACCCCAAATTCCTTTGCAGATGCACTATCTAGGAACTGATACATATAATTTGAATTGCAAAAGGCCAGAGACAAGTGTCAAAATGCAGCTAACAACCTATAAGATGCCTTCTAAACTGTAATGATTTTCTAATGCTTAAAAAACGATGAAGCCTAGTAACTGATTTCTTGACAAGTTATAAAGAGATTCCAGTTTAGGCAGCAAGAAATAACTTGTTCTTGGACAGGTAAAGAGAAGGAAGAAAGGACCAGGGATATTAAAAAATGCCAATTCAGTTAACAAAGTAAGATAATTTGATTTCTAGATTACTTAGATTGTAATTGGAGTCATTTGCATCTTGAAACATACTCACAGAGAGAAATTCTGCAACACAACAATCAGAAAATATTGTGGGATTTGGATCAAGCTTATTATTCACACCTCATAAGTGAGTGCATCAGCCAATCCATGGATTCTGTCAATGCGCACATTCTTGCCAAACAGCTTAGAAAAAGTAGGATCACCATGGCGAGATTCCAAAGCCACACATATGCTACAACCATCTTCTCCTAGGTTGTGAACAAATCCCTGCATGCAAGAAGTTGCACCAGCACCCCTGCTGTCACATGTTCTCACACAAACCATGTCTCCAGGAGAGAGTGTAGTAGGTGGCAATCGATGATTCCCTTCAACCCTAAACAGAACCAAATGCATGCCTCCTAACCCTGTAAGAATTATTACAGCTGAGACAATGAGACACTGAACCATGCTAAATCACTCCAAGAACATTCACTGAATTCATTAAGAAAAAAGGAGCCAATAAATCAATCACATTGAGACAAGACCCATTAAGAAGAGAAGAAAGTGAAGTCACCTGTAGAAGAACTAATAGCATTCAGATTGCAAATAGTATCACAGAGCTCTTGCTCAGCCTGGCCATGGCTGACCAAGAATTCAATAGGCTTTGTAGAGTTAGAATTCTCATCTGGCATTGGAACAGCATCCAATTCTTCCTGAGTAAATTCCAACTCAGCATCCCTTTCAATGCGAAGGAGCTCCGACATGCATTTTGTAAAGTCATCAATCCTGTTCTGTATTGCCCTAGCCTTCTCAAGGTCCATTCCCAACCCACTGTGCACAGGCTTCTGGGGAATCTTCCGTGCAATCGCTCTATGCTGAGCTGCAAATGAATAACCTCACCCCCCATAATCAATCATGCTCTAGAGTGAAGAAAAGGATTTGAAACAAGACAAATGAAGCAAAAGAGGAGGAGAACCTGAATTAGCAAGCTCCTTTAGCAACTTCCATGACTCAGTTTCTCGCCAATCACTCTCAATCTGTGAATTGCGCTGGAGACCCTGTAACACATCTCTCAACTCCCTCTGGAAGTGGTCGAAGAGCGTCGGATAGTGAGTGCAGGCTTTCAAACAGAGTGCCTCCGCACCAATAGGCATGGGAATGGCATTGAGATACGGCTGTGCCTGAATGACAAACGTAAGACCGGGTCCCATACGCTGCCTAACCTCAGAGAATTCACCTTGAACCTCAGCAGAGGCAAACTCCGACGCCATGGTTCTCATTCCCTGAGAAATCCATTTCACCACGCATTTCCCCAAATCCCTCCGACCCAATGGGTCTCCATTCTGATACAGTGTCCGGACACTCACTTTAGCCTCCTTATCTTCATGGGTCTTCTTTACTGTCCTATTCTTCTCTTGCACGAGTTGCTGCTGCTGCGGCTGGTTCTGCTGTGGCTGACTCTGCTGGTTTCGTCTCAAGATCGACGAGGAGGGAATAGAAGAAGAAGTGGTAGAAGGAATGGTCGGACTTCTGTTGTTGTTGGGTCTGGATGTGCGGCTTCTTCTTCTGGTGGTGGTTTTGGAGTTGCTACCGCTGCTGGTGCTGTTATTTTGGATTAGTTGTTGGAAAGCCAAAGAAGAGGAGAACAAATGGGTGTCTTTCTTCTTCTTCAGAAACAGTAAACGGATGGGACGGAAAGAAGACAAGTAGGAGAGATTCTGCAGAGGGAAGCTCGACCTCGAGGAGGCCTTTGAAGAAGCTGCCAAGGGGACCCCGCTGAAGATGCTGGTGGCTTCCATTTGTCCACCAACAGTCGCCACGCTCCAACCACCCGCCCACGAGAATCTCGAGTTCAGACTAGCTACGGGGACGACCCATCAATAGTCCATCCCGTCCATGGCGACGCAGCATGAGCAGAAACAGCAATGCAGTAGTTGTTGTTGGCGCGAACAGCAAATTTAGTTTGGGAAGTTGTGACCGAAATACAATAGAAGAATTGGAGAGAGAAAGAGGGGGACTAACCTATTTTTATTGGAATGGGAATTTAATGGTTGTGACTTAGTGACAGAAACTTCGATATTTTGGTTCGGACTCTGAACCTTCTTTTTTTCTGAGAATTTTTGGGGGGCGAATTATTCGAGCCTCGACTGAGAATTGTGGTAAGAAATGAGGCAACGAATCTGGGAAGAATGAAAAGAAAGCAAATATTGTAGAAAAAACAGAAATAAATGCACGAGAGAGAGACAGAGAGAGAGAGGATCGACTGAGATTTTGCAAATCGAGAGTTCTGATTGGATGACCTGGATTTTTTGGTGAGCAGGCCTGGCTTGTGTGGGTCCACGTTTCGGCGGTTCGACCTTTTCCCTCCGGGTTTTGTGGTTGAAACGGCCCCAACGTGTGCGGACGCTGCAACTTGCAAGCATGAGGGAGACGTGTCCTCCCCCTTCCCGCTCGGTATTCTTCAATTTATTTTGGAAAATAAATGAGGAGATATTAACTATATATACATGGCAAAATCGACCCAACCCACAAATCCAAATCGACCCGATCCGAAAAACGGGTTAGGGTCGGTCTCCCTGGCCCGGTAGGAAATTCTGATCGGGTCATAAGCTGTCAATGGGTCACCACCTTTTTTCATGTCAACATTTTCAAATCGGTAAAAAATCATCAGGTCAAAAAACAGTTGATTGGGACCGTTGATAGATCGAACTTAACCTGAATATTTTGGGTTACATTCTAGCTATTCGCTGACCCAATCTGAAAGCTAAAATCTATATCTACATGTATACTATTTAAAAAGTAGGAATAGCTTGGAGAATATTTATGTAATTTTTTGAAGATATTTAAATTTATTGATAAAAAATTAGGATAAATAAGATAATTGGTTATTAATATTAAATGAATGAAATGAGATAATTTTAAGATATTTAATACATTCAATTCTCTCACATTAAATCCAACACTTAAGGTATTAATTTGCATTCATCTTTATTGAATCATATATTTCAGGCTTTTTTGTTTCTTTTCATCATTAAATTCTATAATTAAATACATAATGAATTAATAATTTCAATAACATAAGAACATGTACATTGAAAATCTACCTGAAAAAATAGTGTTTTCATCTAGGTGGTGGTAAGAAATTAAACCATGTGGGTCAAATGAGCCAATCCATGTTGACACAATTAAATAATAAAATTCAAAAATATATAAAATGCAAAAAATATAGAAATTAAAAAAAAATTGGGAACGTTTTTAACATCATATATTTGACATATTAAACAATAATAAGTATGATAAATAATGTTTTAAAAACCGACCCGAAGGCCGACCTATTTTTGCCTTTGGGTCATAGGTCACCAATTTGACTATCAAGGTAAAACGAGTCAAACCGCTCTATGTCAATACTATTCAACTATATGTGTGTGTGTAAAAATGCATATTTTATCAATAAATAGTATAATTATGTTTTACATATATTAATTACATATAATATATGTATTATGTTATATTTATTTATATTTTTTAATTCAATTTTAAAATTTTAACTTTTTATTTATAAAATATTAAAAATAGCAATTTGGGGCCAAAAAATGGGTTTTTTTGCAAAAATAGCAAGGCAATGTGCCTAAGGCCCATTGGGACTTATAGATCTTGAAAAGTTACTCAAAATTAAAAAAAAAAAAGATAACCTAATCGGACATCGAAATGCAAAGTTATGGCTTCCAAAAGTTTTCACATAATTAAGTGTGCAACCTACGACCTGCTTACTAGGTCGAATGGGTCAATGGTTAAACCACTAGGGTTAGACAACTTTTAATTGAAAGGGGGAATTTCAATAAAACTAAACCCAGAATCAAGGCGGAGTGATAGTTTGAATGGTTCAATTAGCCAACTTAACAACAAGTTAAAAACATTGATGATAAATAAGAAATGTTTTTATTAATGATGGAAATTGAATGTAAAACTTAAAACCAATTGGAATTTGGAGGTAAAACTGTTTTCTTATTATCTCTCATTAAATCTCATATCTAAGGTATATTTTCTTATTAAATCCTATATTTAAGATATATTTTTCTCATCATGAAATTCTACTAATTAAATCAACAACATGAATTTTAATAATATAAAAATAAATATTTTGAAAAATAATTAGAAAACAAAATCATTTTCTTCCCTCTCAATGGTGGGTAAGCCATTCAACCATTTGGGGTCAAATGTGTTAATAAATAATGTCATAAATAAATAGTCAAAAATTAAAATAAATAAAATATATAATACAAAAAATAAAAAGAACTAGACACGTCACTAATATTGTATATTCATTATACTGAACAAAAATAAATACGAAATAGAAGAAGTATTTTTATAAATGATGAGAATGGAATGCCAAAGTTAAAATCAACCTAAAAATTATAATAAAATTTTTAAAAAATAGAAAATACAAAGAATCACAAAAATAAATATTATACATAAGATATAATGTGGTCAAAAGAATATATACAAAAATTATATATTAATTATGTCAAACAAAAATTAAGTATGATAAGTAAAAATTATTTATATAATGTTGATGAAATATATAATTTAAAATTGAACTGATCTAAAAGCAAAGCTATTTTGTTATCTAAATGGTGGGTCAAGGATCCAATTTTTCAAAGAAATTTGTAATGTCATAATTGAATAATAAATATTTAAAAAAAATATAACACAACAAATAAAAAAGTACAGAATTTTGTTAAAGACATTTCAAAACATTTCTACCGTTATATAGTCATCATATTAAATAAAAATTATTTTTAATTAAGACAAAAATAAAATACAAAATTTAATAGTAGTAGTAGCAGCAACAAATGTAATAGTAGTAGTAATAATAAATAAAATTGTTATTATAATTTAAAATTTCTACAAATGCACATTTAGTATTTAAGTTTATTTTTAATTAAGCATGCAAGGCACATGCTTAATTATTAGTAACCCAAAAATGTCTGAACCTGCTCCAACTATTAACCATTTAATTGTGTTTCAAAATGGAGCCCACGAATGACTTGCTCCATACTTCATACTCGTATAGTCGTATACAATAGATTGGGGTCCAAACAAAGATTCAAATTCCAAATTAAAGCTGAACCACCTTCACATCATATGTCCATTTTCATGACGACTCAACCCATTTTTTGGTTTGAATACATGAATCCACCTTCGGGTCATCCAGGTTCTGTACCTCCGTATGCACCCATTTACCCCATCTTGGATATGGATCTAATTCCCTTCCAATCCAACCGGTTTATGCCACAACAACCGACAGAGCTTACCATGGGTCCATGGCCCTCCGGTCCAACCACTCTAGCTCAATACTGGCCAAAATATGCTTGAGTGTTAATTGGGCCATCCGAACTTATACAAGGGCAAAGAGATCCATGGATGGATTGGACCCGCGGTTAGCTTTGGTCCTTTTTTAAGTCAACAAGTCTATGACTATAAGCAAGCAAGCAGGGCGTCATAGCAATGTTGTAATATGCTTGAGTTACGTTTTTTCAGTTGGTCTGTTCGATTCATAAAAACCATCATTAAACCTGAAAAATAGTAATCAATTCTCAGATTTTATGGTCCAACCATCTAATGGCCCTCATCCGATTCAACCTTATTAGATATATTATTATAAAGTGGATATTTGTCTTGATTTTGGTGTAAATCATGAAAGTTAAATTTGATTTATGATGTTGATTTATATTTTTACTATTTACTTGTACATGCATCTTTATGCTAGTATCCAAAAATAGTTTTTTTATAAGAGATATAAGATATTGTTGGGTCCTTTGATCTAAGCACACACTGTGTCATGATCAAGAGGCCAATGTGAACTTCCCACAATATTTATGATTATATGGGCAAGTTTATGTAAGAAGACAGTTTTGATGCCCTTTAGAGTAATAAGAGGCCTACTAGAATGAAAGGGTTAGGTTGTGGAATAGGAGAGGCTTTAGGACAAATGTCTTTAAGAAAGTTAAGGGAACCTCTTGTCTAATCTTCATCATGCCCCTTTAATATTGGTAATTGATAGGTATTTATAGAGAGAGGCCCACTTATTGAGCATTAGCTAATTCAGCTATCACCATGACATCCCCTTGAACAAATGTCTCAAATATTATCTCTTATCTATGGTATCACACTAATGGTCTAATTGTTGTGTGATAAAAACCCCTTTTGTCTTCAAATTTGGATTAGTTAAACGCTTTAACTGTTTAATAGATTATGGAACCAATGATGAAGTTCTACATCAATAATAAATTCATGGATCTCACTGTAAAAGATATGAGCCCATATATTTAAATATTGGTGTAAAACCTTATCATTGAATTAATTCCCAACCTGTTGAACAGCTAAATCATTCTCCTAAACCTTGTTATTCACCCTCGTCCCGACTCTTCGCATGCCTCATCAATGAGATTACATTAATGCAAAGTTTATGTTAAGTCAGAGTTCATGGCTCCGTGATGACATGAAGCCCCCCCTACGTGAAAGAGCTGTCTCCCCTGCCTCTAAACGTTACCCATGGTCTATATAGGCCAAAAGTGAGTGAATCTGACGCGCCCGCTATCACCAAAATGTCAATCATTGTTAGCACCCTTATCTCTTTGATTGAACTCTTGATCATGCATTGATTAGAATCCAATTGTGCTCCGATGTTGCACCCTCATTTGAGTTTGTAATGATGTGGACGCGTGGATTGAATTTGACAATTATTTCTTTTGTCCAAAATCTTCAATAATTTCCAGTAGTTAAACCAATGAAAATATCTCTACTATACTTTAACCCGAATTGGTTTTCTTAGGGTGGCTAACATGTTTCTTCCCTTTTTAAGGAGGTTACCATCCTCCGACCCAAATTGTCCCTATCGGTTGCTAAGGCTAACCCATTTCCTACCATTTTTTAAAAGAGGTTGCCATTCTTCGATTCAAATTGGTCCTCTTGAGGTGGCTTACCTATTTTGGAAAATAACCCAAGGTGTCAGCCATGTGATTAAACCCCTTTCTGATGTGAACTAATGTGGCCTTATCAAAATCTTTCAATGAATCCTGGACTAGATCACGGTAGAGCAAGGTTTTCAAAACTGGACTGGACCGGAAGGTCAGACCGAAAAAACCGGGTTTTTCATAAAAATCGTTGATTTTGGTCAGTAAATCGTTGATCCGGGAGGTTAATTATTCGAATGGTTTTGACTGGTTTT